AAAAACCCAATTTTATTTCTGAAGAATTATTCAACACGGAACACTTCGACGAACAAACTGACTATGACGAATACCCACCAGATGATCAACAAAACTACGAACCCGACTTTGACAACCAAAATGAAGAACAAAACGAAAATTTTCGCGAAAGCCCGAACCTCGAACAGGAAACGTGATAGAATATCACATGTCCTTGGATAAAAAAGAATTACCGTATATTCAAATCACAAAACCACCCTTAAAACTTTTAATTGCCACAGGTTCGACAAAATCTTTCATTAACCCGGAAATCGCCTCTAAATATTATTATAATCGCATTTTCCATGAACCTTTTACAGTTTCGACCATCTTTCAAACCTCATCACACGATTATTGTTGCGAAATTCCAATATTTCCTGAGTTCAACCAAAAAGAAACATTGAAATTTTATCTTTTTAACTTCCACAATGTGTAATTAATTGGATTAGATAACCTAAAACTGTTAAATGCGCAACTCGATTTCGTTAACTCTATCCTAACTACACGTTGTTCAAAGATACCAATAAAGTATCAAAATTCAAATCAAAATATTTCATTTAAACTAAAAATAAAACCCCATACACGAGTCGTTACGAAAGTACCGGTAAATGAAACAGGTGGTGATGTCATCGTCCCCCATCAAAATATTCAAAACTGCGAAATACCTGAAACATTACCTGTTGTAAAGAATAGATTAGCTTTAGTCGAAATATTAAATAAAACGGACAAGGAAGTGACAATTATATTGACAAGTCTCTTAAAAGTGATTCCTTTTGACGAAAATAACTACGAACTTTACCACGTTGATGTCACATCTTTTAATGAAAAACAGAAAGTAGATATTGAAAAAATTATACGCACTGACCACCAAATTAGGAAGGTGCACCTATTTTACAACCCTCGATTTGGCCAGTGGTTTGCATCAAATAGAGATGAACCCGGAAGACGTCGCCAAAACAGCTTTCAACGTGGAGAATGGCCACTACGAGTATCTACGGATGCCGTTCGGACTCCGAAACGCCCCTGCGACATTCCAGCGAGTTATGGACAACATACTCAGAAGGCTACAAAATGAGATATGTTTGGTGTACCTAGATGACATCATTATATTTTCAACTTCACTCCAGGAGCACCTTGTCAACTTAAAAAAGGTATTTCAGCGTCTAAGAGACACCAACTTCAAAATACAACTTGACAAATCGGAATTCCTGAAAACAGAAGTGGCATATCTAGGCCACATCGTGACACCTGACGGAGTAAAACCCAATCCCGACAAAATTTTGGCAATAAGGAAGTATCCATTACCGAAATCAACAAAGGAAATAAAAGGATTTCTAGGACTCTTGGGATATTACCGAAAATTTATACGAGACTTTGCAAAAATTACTAAGCCTTTGACGATGTGTTTAAAAAAGGACGCCAAAATAGAACACACCCCGGAATTCATCGCTTGTATTGAACGCTGCAAAAACCTACTAACAAATGAACCGATACTGCAATACCCAGACTTTACCAAGGATTTTGTCCTTACGACAGATGCCAGTAATTTAGCCGTCCGGAGCCATATTATCTCAAGGACCGACAGGTAACGACAAACCTGTCTCCTTTGCATCAAGAACACTGAACGAATCGGAACAAAATTACTCAACAACCGAGAAAGAGCTCCTCGCGATAGTTTGGGCGACAAAATATTTTCGGCCATATTTATATTGGCGAAAATTCAAAATCGTTACAGACCACAAACTACTGCAGTGGCTTATGTCACTAAAGGAACCGAATTCACGGTTAGTCCGCTGGAGATTAAAACTGGAAGAATACGATTACGAAGTTGTTTATAAAAAAGGCAAAAACAATACCAATGCGGATGCACTATCCCGTATTGAAATACACACCAAGGAATTATTTAAGTACATGGAAGATTTTAACGATAAGATGTCCAAAAAACCCGATCGAGATAACGAATCAATCGTAGGCAATATTGACGAAGCACCCTGTATAGAAGACGTAAGAGAAAGCGAAAATAATGACCCGACCAATCAAAATCCACTTAACATAGAATTCACGCCCAATACCGAAGAAGACCACTCACAGGATGACAACACCAGACATACCAGCCACGAAGAGCCAATTCTAGGCATACCAATTTCAGAAAAACCACTCAATATGTTCGATCATCAAATAGTTATTGATTTTGTCCACCATTCACCGGCCAATCCGAAAAAGAAGCAGATTTTTCCGACAAAAATTCGACACTTCGTGCAAATATCGGAAATGAACCTAGAAAACGATATTATACAATTTTTCAAAAACTTTATTCAACCAAAATTTTTGTATGCGCTACATTTCAAAAACGAAACCCATATCCCTGAAATTTGTAATATTCTAAAAAATACCTTTAAAAATTCTGCTTTCAAACTTGTGAAATGTAACACCGTTTTAGAAGACGTTGTTGAGAAAGATGCCCAAACAGAAACTATTCAAAAATTCCATGAAGGCAAAACAAACCATCGTGGAGTTGTTGAAACCGAAACTCGAATTAGACGGACATATTATTGGCCAGGAATTAAAAACCATGTTAAATGAATACGTAAACTCTTGCGAAATATGCCAAATTAATAAATATGATCGCAATCCCCCCAAACAAAAGCTTATGGTGACTCCGACCCCATCGAAACCTTTCGAAATCGTACATGCAGACACATTTCAAGCCCACGGTCAAAAATTTCTAACGATTATCGATACCTTCTCCAAATACGCCCAGGCTTATCCTTTAGTGGGGTTATCCGGCATAGAAGTAGTCCGTGCATTTCTAACTTTCATGACTCATCACGGTCTACCATTCCTAGTTGTTATGGATAACGGTACTGAATTGAAAAATTCCGTTGTTCAAGAATTTTTTAAAACACATGATATTAATGTCCATTATGTAACACCTAGTAACCCTTAATCAAATGGACCAATCGAAAGATTTCATTCTACTATCATCGAACACTTAAGAATAATTATAACCAAAAATAAAGGCAAGGCCGACATTTTAAATCAGATGCCCTTTGCAATATTAGGATACAATAATTCTATAAATCTAAACGAAAAACTAGTTAATAATTATGTACACGAATATCGCGAGTTGACTAAAGAAATTTACAAAAAACTAAATGAACAATTAATTAATCATAAAGAACGCGTGATCGAAAAACAGAACGAAAATAGACAAGACCCTCTTCCGTACAAAGCGGACGCGGACGTTTACAAAAAACTAACCTCCAATATTCGTAACAAGTTAACACCAAAATTCGTTAAAGACAAAGTCCTCCAGGACCGAAAAATAAAAATTAAAACTAGTAAGAAAGTATTTCATAAGCAATCCCTAAAGAGACCAAAGGCTAATCAGAAAAAATTGTTACAGGTGCAACCTGATAGGAACAATGACAGCCAAGGAACTGACGATAACGAACCTAGACAAAAACCCGGGAATTCTTCCCTATAAGATAGGAACCGCAAGAATAAAAGTAAGACAACATTCCTTTATTCACTATTACGATCTCGACCCAGTTAAATTAGAAATTGAAAAAATAAGAAATATTTATGACAATATTTCTATCAGCATGCAAAAACACGAATACCTTTTCGAACTTTCAAACTTCGATTAAACAGTAAACTTTCAATTAATTTCGGCAGAACAAAAACTAAACTCTCTCCGCCCACAATATAAAGAAAAACGTGGTATAATTAACGGTTTAGGTACGATAATAAAAAGTATTACGGGAAACCTAGACGCAAACGACGCAATTTTCTACAATAAAGCAATATCTGACCTGCAAAATGGACAAATTGAAGTTATTAGTAAGTTAAACAAGGAAATCTCTATCACTACAAAAGTAATTCAAAATTATAATCGAACTGTTTCATTGATAAAACATAATCAAGAAGTAATATATAAGGAAATGAATTTAGTGATTCAAACACTCAATGCGACTATTGTTAATTTTAGCGATTTCCTAAAAGCTCGAAATGTTTTAGATCAAATTAACTTTACATTAAACACCGTTCGCTTTCTGATATCGAAAACGGCTATAACATTTGCTCGATTAAAAATTGTTCACAGTAGTATCTCAAAGATCGAAGAGCTCGAATCAATAATTAAAACTATATTAAAGTATTATCCACCAGATAACTTACTTTTTACAGACTATACGAAAAACCTTTATAAATACTATGAAATTTTAGAAGTGGAAGCGTATTTTTCAGACGACGACGATTTCGCGGCGGCGGCAACGATAAGAGAATTCAACTAATAAAAGGTCGTCAAGGTCGCGTAAAATATAATAATTTATTGACAACATTTTTTTTTTGCGGATTAAATAAAATGCAACAGGAAAAAAGACGTTTAATGACACTAATATCGAACAAATTGTTTTATTAATCATATACAAAACCCCATCAGGATAGACACATATTAATAAATATATTCGAACGTTATGTATATATAAATAGCATATATGGACATAAATAGATACATAAATTAAACACAAATATAAACTACAATCATCTAAAGGAATCGTAACATATTAGTTTGCCAAAAGAAATATCTGCTTGGTATGTGGTCGATCAGTCAGTGATTTTCCCGCTGTCCTTTGAACCAACCAAATTTCGATGGCCCCAAGCTAGCGTGTACTCACTCTGAACCGGGTATAAGATGTCGTTTGTCATCCGCGTAAGACAACGCCACCTTATTTTTCAGTTCGACGTACATATCATGTAAATGTGAGCGAAACGAAGACATTTGGCGCAAGATTAGCGTGCCTTCCTCGTCGACAGCGCGCTTATAGTCGTCGAGACTAAGTTCGCGCTGGCTGACCGAGTCAGCAACGCCCTTGGCCTTTTTGGTCAACTCGTTGCCGTCCACATTTACGCAATAAGCTTTCGCTCCCGTACCCAAGAATTCCCACAACGGCCGTCCTGTGTACTCGTCCTTCATTTTACCAAGAACGGACTTGTTTACAGGAATGCCGTGTTGGTTGTTCTCCGAGTAATTAGACGTATCGAATTGGTCCAAATTTTCTTTCATATCTTCGTAGAAATTTTCGCAAAAAATTTGGACAACGAGGCTGTCGGTATCGGTGTAGAGTAAGACGGCTTTGTAGCCGTACTTAGCCTTTAGATAGCCGTAAAAAAAGTCGTATATGAGAGTCTTGGATATGTCCAAAATGCAAAATCCGGCGTAAATAGGCTTATCATATACGACTTTAGTCCTTTCCATCTGGTGAGCGACTATATTTTCGCTAAATATGGCGACATTTCCGGGCAAAAAGGCAGTTCGTTGTGTGCGTCATGCAGCACTTTCGGATAGTCCAAATCTACTTCGAAAATATAGCCCCTAGGTGAATCGTTGGGGATACGCGTAATATCTAAATTTTGAATTTTGCCCTCCTCCAACCACTCGAAGTTTCCCGTTGGGAGGTATTGTGACATGGCCGCCCCGTATAAATTGGTAGCGTCCAAGTAAATGACGTAAGAGGTAGGTTTGGAAGGGTCGTAATTAGGTAAAAATTTATTATTAGCCGCGGCCTTTCTCACACTACACTGACTGACTCCTCCGCGGATACCGTGCTTCAAGAAGTGTATCATGTCCACGTCGGTCAACAGGTCCAGTTCGACCTTTGTCGCCTTAAGGGCGCTCGTCCATGATAGACCCGGTGTCGTATAAAACTGACTCGGGTCCAGACCGTACGTTTTCAGACACACCTCTCTGAAGTTTTCAAAAATATCGGCTAAAAGTAAAACGTCGGATTTTAAATAAATATCTGAATATCCGCCACAGTCCAGGCACGCTTGTAATCCTCCCTGGTTATGTTGCTCTTTCGCATGGAGTCATAAAAGTCCTCGTGCGATGGCAGTTTGGTTTCGTCTAATTTTGAAAAAGAATCTAGATACGTATATGGAAAAACGCCCTTCTGTCGAATAAGTTGAAATTCTTGTTCATTTTTAAAAAATTTTTTGACTTCCCGACACTGACTATCGTTCAAATTTCGACTCAATCTGTCCAAACTGGATGCCATAAATCGAAATGAATCTAAAAATCGGAGTTTTAAAAATACCCTTTTCCCTTTGCCTCCTTTCTCCGACTCAATGTTATCGACTAGGACATTTTTCGTAAAGGAAATGTAACGTTCCTTGTTTTGGGCGATGACATCGATCTTTTCCCCTTCTTCAGCCATAAATTTTACAAATAGATGACTGTCGAAACCTAAATGGTGAAAAAAGACAGGGATGTGCCGCGGAACTTTGAAATTCAAGTTGCAAGTGGAGTGAGCCGCACCTCGAAATTCGCCCGTCATATGACAATGATCCCTTACTTTTTCGTCCTCTGCATTAAATGGCTTCTCGCAAATGTGACAAGCCGCAGCGTTTCGAAAGCCGGTCTCTTGTTCAAACGATAGAGTGGTCATGGGCACGGAAGTTTTCATGAACTTGTTGCAGAGCGCTTTGCAGTCTCTCTCCAACCATTCAATGAAAATTTTGCGTGCGCCCCGACCTCTGTACTGTTTAAAAGTAGACTGGGAATCGTCAAAGTCACATTTGACATAGTAGGCGAAAGAGTAAGGCTCGTGAATATGAGTTTTGACGGTAAACGATTTGTCGGGATTCGGTTCGCCTTCCACCTGTAAAGGAGTCATGACTGTTTCAAAGTCCGCGTACACAACAAAAGGCACTTTTAATTTCTTTTCAAATTCTTCAAATTTCAGCTTATTTGCGGGAACATCTTTACCGTATTTATCCTTGCGCAATTCGGTGGTCGGAAGTTTGATGAAAATGTGAGTGCAGTCGTGTTCTTTATGACGCTTTAGTTTTTCTTCGTTATAAAAATAAACCAAACAACCATCGCATAAAAACTTTGTGGTGGACCTTTTAGTTAATTGTTTTGAAACCAACCGAGACATACTTCTTATTAAACAATAATGATTTTCTCCATAGTCATTACTAATTAAAAAGAGGTTTACATGTCTCTCTTTACGAGATTCAGTAAAATGCAAAGGACCAACGACCTCAACATCATTACGGACTTTGTTATAGACTCTCTCGAGGCCATAGACATTGACCGAAATTTCATTAAGTCGTTCAAAAGTGGATATGTCCTTAAGTTTAACGGGAAAATCGATACCTGTAAAATCCAGCTCGTTCTGAAACTCTACATAGTTATTGACCCTGTTAGCGTTATTTGTCCAGTGAATTGGGTGAAGAGCAGCCAAGATCAACCACATAAAGCATTTTTCGTCCGTATTTTGCAAGTTCAAAACAGCTTTTTTGGCTTCGATTTCCTTGGGCAGGCTAACATAGGACGACGCCCTTAGAGGATTGTACTTGTTAATCCCTATTTCTAAATGGAGGAGTTCCTGCAACGCCCAGCCTGTAAAAAAGAGAAAGAAATTAGTTCGGAAATATACATTTTTATGAATCATACCGCTGTCCCTTTCCTGAACCTCGGACGCTTTGGTAGCCAAGATGTCGACGAACTGGACGTACAGCTCCTCCAGATCGGTGTTTCCGCTCACCAGCCGATATTTGGTATTGAAGGACTTGACCTACTCTTGTTCCTTCGTCTGCAAGAGGAAGTTTCCGAATAGCTCCATACCGACTTTTACGTTGTCGTAGCGTCGGACGTTCGACTCTACCAACGTAAGGATTTTGGACCTAAGGTGGTCCAAGAAGCCCTTAACGTCGGTAGGGTTAACGGTGGACGCCAGACGGTATGTAACTATGCGGTTACGGAAGGAGGTCTGTATCATTTCTACTCCTGGCTCCTGCACCACGCTGCATTTTTGGCGGTGAGCCAAAGTACGCAAGTGTCCTTGCCATCTCATTGCAGGAATGGTCAAGTTACACTGCGTACAATGGCGCGTGGATGATGGTGATGATGATGATGTCGAAGCTATAAAATACAATATGAGAATTGTATGGGATTTAAAATCAAAAATCCTTACCTTCCGGTAGGTCAAGTCTCGGGCGCTTGGGTTCGTCTGCAACAATAGGGGCGGCGGCGGGTCTTTTCGCCTTGGGAACCTCAAGCTTCTCGCGTTTATGGCGTCGGAGAGCCCCCTCGGATTTGTATATCCCGCCGCAAACGTCACAAATTTGTACTGCTGCGCGACAATCCCCGTGCCTCGCCAGGTGGTCTTTACGGCTGAACGAGCGGTTGCAATATTCGCAGGTGAACATTTTTATTTGCTGCGAGGAATAGGCGTCTCACTCTCCAACTGTTCCAGATCTCTACTTGACACTTACCTTTTTTAAGTGGTGAAACACAAACAAAAATCCAAAGAATGAAGTCTCACTATGGCGGCGGTCACTTGTTAATTAAGCCAATTTTTCTGGGGTAATGAATTTAAAATTACATTCGAGAACGTTCCTTCAGAATAATTAAGATTTGTGTTGGCGAGAATTGCGCAATATAACGCGACCCGCTGATAAAATTGGTCGTAGTTAGCGACCTAACCTAACCAAACCGTCGTCGTATGGGGCCGCTTCGTTTCGAAACTCGACCGTTGGTCGCGGCGTGACTGTAAATTGCAGCGCGATCGTGTGCGATGACTCAGGCGTACCGCCACCGTCGCGTTTGACGACTGGATGACATCATCGCCCGCTGCATGGCAGCGTGGTCGCGTCGCCGGTGTGCGGCAGCGGCTGCATGACATCATCGCTTTGCGAAATGTTTAAACGAAACTTTGGCGGGTGAGATCATCGCGTCGCCTGCCTTCGCCGCAAAAAAAAAATGTTTTAAACGAGACTTTCATATTAGACCGCTTAGGAACGGCATACGTGTTTTCCTGCGACACAAGAAATGGTTTGATATTCTTACCGCATGCGTTTCCTTCGATATCGAGTTTATCGTCGCATTTCCTTCGACGCGAACAAAAGCTCAAAAAAAAATCTTTAAACGAAACCAGAATCTAAATGTTCGATGAGGGAGAGTGCATCATCACCCCGCATTACTTCAACCACATCCCTCCCTGTATATATATATATATATATATATATATATATATATATATATATATATATATATATATATATATATATATATATATATATATATATATATATATATATATAGACACTCCGTAATTTCATTTTGTCAGTATGTTATACTTTGCGTCACCAAAAATAATTGTTCGATCACAATGCGAAATAAACATTCCTGTTTAAAGAAGCAAAATGGTCCATATCTGTGTCGGACCTGTCGAAACCTGTTTGTTAAGATTTATATACATAATATCAAACCAGCCTTTGGAAACGTCTGGTTAATGGCCACAGGCCATTAGCTTCTAAATAAATGCGAGATATTATGAAAACCGAAAAAGTTTGAATGGAATCTAACGTTTTCTTTTGTTTCTCAAAGTAGTAATTAAGCGGAAAAGTAGTCGTAGTATATTGATTAATTGTAGAAATGTCACATTTTCTACAAAACAACTTAAGTTAAATAAAATGCAAATTAAATTATTAAAAATTACCGCTTTGTTGTATTCGTTATTTACTATGCCCGAACCTACGACTACACTGGAGGGTAGCTTAAATTTGACCTGCTTGGTTTACCTGCCTTTCGTATGAATGCGAGTTGTTTCACGTGTCAGTCGAAGTTCAAAGAAGCGTTTGTGTTAAGGGTTTGTTTCTGTTATCCACGTTTGTTGCTTAATGCAATATCGCCAACGAGTGTAAGTTATGTGTTCATTGTGTATTTCATATACGGATAAATAAAACAAAAAAGACTGGAAAAAGATAGGTAAGAAGCTTTCGGAATTGCGACTTTAATGAGTAACCGCGTAACATTTTGACCTAGTATTATGTATATGTTCGACGAGGTTTCTATACTTAATTAAAAAAAAAATTGGGGAGTGATCAAAGGAGGCTGAGGTCGGAGATACGGATCTTGTTTAGTATCCATTTTTGTTTAATAAAACAACCAAAAATGCTCGCTTACGTTTTTGAAGTGGGTAAAAAGGAAACAGAATTTTAATAGAAATAACGCACGATATATCTCCCAAAAAATTCAGCCATATGAACAACGCGAAGAAGTTAAGCAGATAAAATTTTACAAGATTTTTGGGGACCAAGTGTATATTCGGATTATGGAAAGTAACAGATAGAGAGAATGAGTTACCTATATAGAAAAAGAGAGACAGAAAGGTAGATTTACTTAAACATTTCTCAATCATCCACCCATCGGAGATAAAAAATAACATTCGCTAGTTTTTATTTTGCATGTATTGAGTGAAGTTCGGAATAGAAATATGTCAATAGTAACAATTTAAATATGGTAATTTTTGGGGATTGTCATACGTCCGCCAGCGTATTGAAAATACGGTTTTAGGGGTTAGAACTTTTTAAGTTTAAAATTTTTGTATTCCGAAGCTTCTGTTGTTTATTAATTTATAGACCCTGGAAAATATAATAATAAAACATCCTACAGCTGACGATACGTGTCCGCTTAAACTCGAAAAGAGCTAATTTATCTTAGAAGAGCACGTATTTTTGGTAAAATAGATATTGTTTTTATTAAATATTTGACAGATCGATGTAATTCGTCAAGCAGAAACCGAGAAGAAAAGTGACGCTTGTGGTGTTAGCTGACAATCCGACCCTGCTTCGTGTACAAATGCAATGACATTTCGGCAGGGCTATAGGCTACGAAACCTTTCAAACTCGAAAAGGACGAACTATTTTAAAGAAAAAAGGTACTTCATTTCTGGTAAAAGTAATAGATAATTTTTTTACGCTAAATATTCGACAGACCATGGCAACTAGTAAAGCAGAATCCGAGAAGAAAAGTGACGTGGGAGGGGGGTGCTGTTTGCTGACAATCCGACCCTGCTTCGTGTACAATTGCATAGCGGGAAGACCTGAAAGATTTCGAAACTGCGTGCGTGCGTGGAAGGCTGCGTTGGGGCGAATTTTGAAAATTACTGAAAGTTCAACGATTTTGGACAATTGGCAGACGATATAGACTACGAAACCTTCCGAACTCGAAAAGGACGTACTATTTTAAAGAAAAAAGGTACTTCATTTTTGGTAAAAGTAATAGATAATTTTTTTTTACGCTAAATATTCCACAGATCGATGTAATTCGTCAAGCAGAAACCGAGAAGAAAAGTGACGCTTGTGCTGTTTGCTGACAATCCGACCCTGCTTCGTGTACAAATGCAATGACATTTCGGCAGGGCTATAGGCTACGAAATCTTTCGAACTCGAAAATGCGCTACTATTTTGAATAGGTACTTAATATTGGGGTAAAAGTAATAGATAAGATTGTTTTACATTAAATATTTGACAGATCGATGTAATTCGTCAAGCAGAATCTGAGAAGAAAAGTGACGGGGGGTGCTGTTTGCTGATAGTCCAGCCCTGCTTCGTGTACAAATGCATGGCGGGGAGACCTGAAAGTTTTCGAAATTGCGTGCGTGCGTGGAAGGCTGCGTTGGACAAATTTTGAAAATATCTGAAGGTTTAACGAATTTTGGTGAATTCGACAGAGCTACAGACTACGAAACCTTCTGAGCTCGAAAAGGACGAACTATTCTAAGGAAAAAAGGTACTTCATTTTTGGTAAAAGTAATAGATAATTTTGTTTTACGCTAAATATTTGACAGATCGATGTAGCTCGTCAAGCAGAATCCGAGAAGAAAAATTACGGATGTGCTGTTTGCTGATAGCCCAACCCTGCTTCGTGTACAAATGCATGGCGGGGAGACTTGAAAGTTTTCGAAACTGCGTGAGTGGAAGTCTGCGTTGGACAAATTTTGAAAATATCTGAAGGTTTAACGAATTTTGGAGAATTCGACAGAGCTACAGACTACGAAACCTTTCGAAACGAACACACGTGTCCTGTTGAACTTGAAAAAGACGAAATTATTTTTAAAAAGGTATATTGTTGCTAAATAATAGATTTTTTTTAATTAAAATATTTGACAGATCATGGTAACTCGTGAAGCAACATCTCAGAATTAAATCGGCGAGTTGTGTATTTGCTGACAATCCGAGCTTGCTCCGTTTAGATTTGCATAACGAGGAATCAAAAATTTTCAAAACTGCCATCGCGGAATGCCTGGTTGAATGAACATTGTATTCGTCGAACCTCTAAAGGTTAACGATTCGGATCATTTTGGAAGATACATACGCCGCGCTTTTCAAAGCAGGTAGACGTGCCCTTGTCCAACTTGATAAAGGCGGAATTATTTTAGGAAAGGTATATTATTTGTAAAAAAAATATACAATTTTTTAAGTAACATATTTGACAGACCATGGCAACTAGTAAAGCAGAATCCGAGAATTCAATCGGCGGCTGTATGTTGACTGACAAGAATATAATTGCTATTAATCCAGCCCTGCTTCGTGTACAAATGCATAGCGACGAGACATGAACATTTTTCGAAATTGCCGACCTATCCTCTTGGGAGTCTACGTTGGACAAATTCTGAAAACGACCCGAGAAATATAATTGGTGAGAAAATAGTTTTTTTTTTGTGTGTTAACAGTTAACAATTTTTTTTATTTTGGAAATAAGGGGTTTCAGTATGTACTGGGATTAGTGAATCAAGTTAATGACCACAGCATCTCTAAACCCCATCTTGAGACGCGTTAACGATCCGGATCGAGTTACGTCGAGTAATTATGTCACTTTTTTTCATTAAATTAAAAAATGAACCATACTTTAGGAACCCCTACTCCCCTTTGGAGGTGATGAAATAAGTTTTGGCATAAAATATAAGTTCCTCATATTACTTTGATATGATAAGTACAAGTCTTGCCTGTTTTTTTTTTAAAGGAGGTTCAAACCCGTGCAAGGTGAGCTTTCATATATGAAACAGACCAGTCATGGGGACACGAGATATGGAAAGTTTAAGCGTAGTCGTCGCCACATTGCTGCCAACACGGCATATATAAGGAATCACGAACCATTCCGGTAAAATTTTGAAAAAACATATTTATGGCAATATAGAACCTCTCTTTTTTTAACAGGAATATTGAGACGTAGACCAGTATCTTTTTAAGTCGGCATGTGGCGTAAAGAAGACGGAGAAGCTTCAGTCGGGTACCATCGGTAACGTAGGCGATTGATATATTTCCACCACTACATAAGTTGGATTGGAATTTCCCATTTGATGCTTTGACTGACTAAATGAGAAAACTTGGAGGAAAGCTCTTACGGAATTCTATGGAAATATGTTTAGGAACATATTGTTGCATTACTCTGTCTTCCACTCAGTTTCACATAAACTTTGCACGTATTATAGAAATTCCACCTATTTTTTTTGTTAATAGTAGTGAAAGTAGTAGCTGGTAGCTGTAGTCGTAAGCTCAGAGGGTGTCTGTTTTGAACATAATACACAAAATGGGCGTTCAATAAATCTGATTCCTTAGACTGCATGGCTTTTAGAGTGGGAGTAAACTATGGTCATATACCCGGATCAAATTCAGAACTAGAAAATCGTTGTGTCACTGCATTAAAAATAATAGTAAAATTTATTGTTCTAATTTTTTTAAATAATTTATGATGTTGGTGAGTTTCGTTTCAATTATTTGTTACTTAAATTTTCTGCGTATTAAACCTTACTTAACAATACGCTATTCGTTAACGCAGGTAGAATTAATGACGCTGACTAACCTCATTTTGTCCAAGGGGAGGCGTAGTACGGTAGTTTGTACTGTGATGTTTGGTAGTTTGGCAGTGAGCTCTCATTTATAAAACTGGGAAAAGTTTCGATATCTTCAAATCGTAAACACGTATCATTAGAATTATATTTTTAAAATATTGATTAGTACATGTACTGAGTAACTAAATGCTCTAGCAAAAATATTCACACACATTGCGGAAAACGTATAACTTTATATTAGAGAAAAATAACTATTTTTAGAGGTTTATTTTTCAAAAAGGCGGGGATTTAGTTAAAGAAGAGATAT